GTCTCCCTGCTTTCAAAAACAACTTTTTGGTACCTAATAATCTAGTACTTAGGCAGAGAAAGATGACTATCAGACAGAAATACTACATTTATGTTACATTAACTTAATATTCAGCAATTCTTCATTTTTGTGTGTTTGGTATCACTTTTCTGACATTGTTCGCTTGCCTGTCTTCTCCCAAATGTTATGACTTTTGTCACATGCCTATCAAATTTTTTTTCCATCTACTAAACACATTTGTTTCGTTTCGTTTTTTTTTTCTTCTTGGAAATAAACTTCTCCAGCCTTTCGTTATCTTACTCTAGCACAGACTGTTCCTCCCAGGCCTGTTCTGTGCCTGTTTTCCCGGCACAGCTCTTGGAAGGCATCTGGGATCTCACATGACTCCTCTCCTGTGTTATTCCCTATGCTCTGAATCCGTGTTTCCCTCTATTATGTTCCTTCTTCCCTGGAGCACGGTTCCCTGGGGAAGGCTGGAGGGGCAGACGTGTTTAGAGATCTAGCCTCCCTGAAATGGCTCCTGTTTGATCAAGTATAGAATTCTAGGTCAAAGCTAATGTTTGCAGTTCTGAAGACATTTCTACGGTTTTCTACATTTACAGTGTTGCTCTTAAATCTGCTGACATTTTACATTACCAGTTTTAGCCTCATTTTCCCCCCACCCTTTCTTCTCTGGATGCTTTTAGTACTTCTGGCTTCTGAAATTTTATAATACAGTGTAGCACGTACCTTTTCATTTTATTGTGGTTCATTAAGTCTGCAGATCTGCTCTCCTTTCAGTGAATTTTTTTTTGTTTCTATGATATTTTCTCTATTCCTTCTTTTGCCTATTTGCCTAATAGTCTTTTTTCTTTTTCTTTTTTAAAATCCTCACCTGAGCCCTGGCCAGTTTGGCTCAGCGGTTAGAGCGTCGGCCTGCGGTCCGGAGAGACCCGGGTTCGGTTCCCGCTAAGGGCACGTACTTCGGTTGCAGTTTGTCCCCGGCCCTGGTTGGTCGTGCGGGTGGCAGCCACTCGATGTGTCCCTTCACGTCGATGTTTCTCTCTCTCTCTCCCTTCCTCTCTCCCTCCCACTCTATCTGTACAAAAAATGGAAAAATGTCCTCGGGTGAGGATAAAAAACAAAAACAAAATAAAATCCTCACCTGAGGATATTTTCCCATTTATCTTCAGATAGAGTGGGAAGGAGGGAGGGGGAGAAGAGAGAGAGAGAAAAGCATTGACGTGAGAGAGACATATTGACTGGCTGCCTCCTGCACAACCGGGACCAGGGTTGGGGACAAACTGCAACCGAGGTACATGCCCTTGACCAAACTCATTGGTCCATGGGCCGCCACTCTAACTGCTGAGCCTAACCGGCCAGGGCCCTAGTATTCTTTTTTCAATCTTTATTTTTGTATTATAGGTGTCCCCTTTTTTCTACCATTGACCCCCTCCTCCTTGCTTTGAGCCCCCCATTCACCACACTATTGTCTGTGCCCATTGGTTAGGCATATATGTATATATATGTTATTTGGTTTATCTCTTCCCTCTCCCCTCCCCTCTGAGGTTCGTCTGTTCCCTGCTTCCAAGTGTCTGGATCTTTTTTTTTTTTAACTTTTTAAATAAGTTTTTATTGATTTTTTAGAGAGAGAAGAAAAGAGAGACAGAAACATCGATGTGAGAAATATTGATCTGCTGCCCCCTGCACGCCCCCTACTGGGGATCGAGCCTGCAAGCCCGGCATGTGCCCTGGGGGGAATCCAATGGGAGCCCTTAGTCCATGGGACGGTGCTCATTCCTCTGAGCCGCACCGGTTGGGCTCTGCATCTACTTTGTTAGTCAGTTTATTTTGTTTATTAGATTCCACATGTAAGTGAGATCGTGTGAAGCTTGTCTTTCTCTGACTGGCTATTTCGCTTAGCCCAGTATTCTTTATACTCAGAAGCAGGACTCAGGCCAGGATTCCTGCAGTGTTTTCTCCTCTATTTTCCTTTTGTCTCCTCCTACTTCCTGGAGAGTTCCTTGATTTATGGTCCAGAGCTTCTATTGAATTCTTTGTCTTGTCTATCGTGTTTTTGATTTATAGAGTTATTTTATGTTGTAATTCTTTTTAAAATATCATTTGGCTCTTTCACCAATGCAAATTTTTGCCTTTCAAAAGTTAAGAATTATTTTTTTGAGTTTTCATGGGCTTCTGAATTTTATCTCTCTCACTAACTTTCTTCCTTTGTTTTGCTCTCTTAGTAATTGGCGCCCCTTAGATGTGTGGTGGCCCCTGGCTGCCCCTGAAGACCTGGAGGCACCAGGAGTGAGCAGGACTGTGCTCACCGACAGGCCTCAGCCAGGGTTCGCGGCCAAGCCTCTGGTTCTGAGCCTGCCTGGACTTCTGTCACGTCCCCTGGCTTTCCCGTTCCTGTCCCAGCCACTCTTCGTCCGCCCCAAAGTCGTGCTTCCTCTGTCTGCTGTGTCTGCTACCACTCCTTTATTGAGTCTTCAGCTTTCAAAGATCAAAAATCACCTGCTGTTGACCCCATATTGTGAAAGATCTTTTTTATGTCTTTGATTCTAATCAGCTATCTCTAAAAGGAAGGGGATACAGTTAGATTTGTGGTCAGTCCTTGCTGTTTAACACAGACTTAGAACCTATATTTAAAGTGTAAACCAGCCCTGGGCCGGTTTGGCTCAGCGGTTAGAGCATCAGCCGGCAGACCAATGAGTTGCGGGTTTGATTCTGGCCAAGGGCACGTACCTCAGTTGTGGTTCATTCCTGGCCTTGGTCGATGTGTCCCTCTCACATCGATGTTTCTCTCTCTCTTCCTTTCTTTCCCTCTCTCTCCCTCCCACTCTGTCTGAGGATAAATAAAAAAATATCCTTGAGTGAGGATTAAAAAAATAAATAAATAAATAAAATGTAAATCAAAGCTTAAAGTTTTTAATCCATATAATTAGTGATACTGTCACAGAATATTTTTGGTTACACCTATAATAGCATACTACACTTTTTTTCTTTATTGATTTTAGAGAGAGAGAGAGAGAGAGAGAAACATCGATGAGAGAGAACATTGATTGGCTGCCTCCTGCATGCTCCCCACTGGGGATCGGGCCCACAACCTGGGCATGTGCCCTGACTGGGAATCGAACCAGCGATCTCTTGGTGCATGGGTTGATGCTCAACCACTGAGCCACACCGGCCGGGCCATACTACACTTTTTTACTAAAGCCTTGATTAAGAGTTCTATCAAAACCACACACCCTGCCATATTGTCCTGTTAACGTGAAACATAGATGGAGCAGTTTTCATTAATGCATAAAGTGTTAGATATTTTTAAGTTAGATGTCATTAATTCTTTTTTTTTTTTTTTTTCATCCTCACCCAAGGACATCCTTCCATTTTTTGTTCAGATAGAGCGGGAGGGAGAGAGAGGAAGAGAGAGAGAGAAACATCGATGTGAAGGGACACATCGAGTGGTCGCCACCCACACGACCCAACCAGGGCCGGGGACAAACTGCAACCGAGGTACGTGCCCTTAGTGGGAACCGAACCCGGGTCTCTCTGGACCGTAGGCCGACGCTCTAACCGCTGAGCAAACTGGCCAGGGCAGATGTCATTAATTCTTATTATCTAAAATTGGTAAAAAAAAAAAAAAAAAGATTAGGGAGGAAAAAGTAATCTTCAGCTTTATTTCTTAGTGGGTTAAGAGGAGGCTGCTAGCAGGACTTCAACAGGTACTTGGCCTTTGATAGCAAGGCTGGTGTTGTGATTATTTCTTTAATCTTTGCCATGGAACCTTACGTCTGTAAGTACCCCCTTTCCTTCCTTGTGAGGACGGTAAAAGTCCCACAATTCTGAAATTAGTGCGGAATGAATGAAGAACAGAGCCTTGTCTATACTGTGTATGAACTGAAGGATCAAGTCTAAGAATTAAGACAGGATAACAAGAAGATGACGTCTCTGGAGCAAGAACAGAGAGCCTGAAAGGAGCTGGAAAAGCTGGTGAGGAAAGTTCCGAAGGACATGGATGACGCCGCTTGGGATGAGACGCACCTCTAAGGAACACCCTTGGTTCTGTCACAAGGGCCAGTTCCGAGTCCGTGCTGGAAGCCCGGGACCCAGTCTGTTAGTGAAGGGGCAGCCTCTGAACACACACCTGGGCCTCGAATGCAGCTGTCACGCTGGCTCCTGAGTCAATGCTTATTATTGGCTTTCACTTACTGCAATGAAACGCTTTCTTCAGTATTCTATAAGGCAGCCACCTGACCATAGCCCGACGCTGGTGACCCCCCGTGTCACTAAGAAGCTCAGGGTTTTGAGCCAGGAGCTCCGGGTTTGGCCGTTACTAGCATTAAACATCTTTTAATTATTCTGAAAAAATAAAACAAAACAAAAAAAACGGGCCCTTTCCTTATTGATCAGATGGGAATTCCTACCCTGTAAGTTTCTGGTGAGGATTAAATGAGGTGAGATATGTCAGTCATATGTTTCAGGCATGAAAATAGTAGGTGCTTCATCGGTCTAAGTTCCCCCTTCCAGAACCTTCTACCCAGTTCCAAGCAGCTTTTCCTATAGGAGAAAATAGAGGCTGGAAATAGAGGCAAAAGGAGGAAGATACGTATTCACATTAACCACAACTTCTTCAGATTAGGCATTACCGTATTTATTATTATTTTCATCAAGCCGTGTGAAGGACTAGGAATTTAAACAAGACGTGCACTTAGCAAAGGAAATGGAACTAATAGGCAAAAACCTAAGTAAAAAGAGGCCTGAATAGCCCAGAATCAGCAACTGAGACTTTGGAAAAACCAGCAGCTGCAGCGAAGCCCCTCGTCTGTCCTCTGGAGGGTGGACAGGGCAGAGAGAGTCTGGTTGGGCCAGTAACTGGTGGCAGGAGGAAGACAGTAAGAGGCCATTTTATAAAAAGTTGCGGCAGGACAGGGACCCATATTACTCTCTGTATGAAACCGGAAGGGGAGAGCTTGGCAGCCAGCCCTGATCGTGCCCACACCCACACCTCGTCTGCTTCAGGGAGCCTTTGCTTTCAGGACTGCCTTGTGCTGCTCCACTAGGGAGCCCACCCACTCCTTGGTGATCTGCTTGGCTTTCTCCCAGCTGAAGAGCGGCTCGTAGCCCAGATCGCGCTGAGCTTTCTTATAGGAGAAGGTGAACACGCTGTTCAACAACGTCACTATGTGGCGGTTGAAGGGGGGTCGATACTTATAAATCGGACTGAGCAGGAAGCTCACTATCTCCAGCAGGAAGCCAAGCCAGTACTTCAGCGCTATGGGCAGGCTCACGCTGGAGTCGAGGCAGAAGCCCCATTCTTTGCCCAGAGTGTAATTGAGGTCATCATAGCTTTGGTGAGGTGTGTCATCGGAGATGTAGTAGAACTGTCCTTGGATGTTTGGGGCTTTCTCAGGGTCCTGCAGGGCCCTCAAAGCCAGAATGTGGGCCCAGGCCACATTGCCAACATAGACGGGGTTGACAACGGAGAACTTGCTGTTATGAGGCAGGACGCCGTTGTTCTTCAGGGCATGGTCAATAAAGCCAAAGAGGAATGGGCTTCCTTCCCCATAGATAAACATAGGCCTTAAGGCACAAGTGTACAAGGTGCCACCGTTCTTAAGAGCCCAGCCATTCGCGGCCAGCACAGCCTTCTCGGCAAGCTTTTTGCTGCAGGGGTACACCTCTGACCACGTGGTTTCGAGGTGCTCTTCTTCACAGGCATTCTGGACGATCTGCCTGTAGGAGTTGGGCCCAGCCACCTCCACGGTGCTGGTGTAAATGAAGGTCGGCACACTAGCCTGGGCACAGGCCTCCAACAGGATCTGGGTACCTGTCCACAGGGGCACACTGTCAGTGTCCCGGAATAACCCCACGGCCCCATGCCCACAGACCATGTCCACCCCCACCCCAAGGGAGGGGGTTCTTGTAGATCAGGAGTGGATTTTTCCACGTCTCGGGCTGAAAGCTGACCATGCTAATGCCACGGAAAAGTGCAAAGACAAAAAGAGACTGACATTGAATTCTGAAGAGCAGACATTTCTAGGCTTTTGGATTTCATGGGCCTGTGTGGGCAGGTCTAATTCTGGAAAAGAACATAGGGTTGCCACTTTATCTTTTCCTGACTATGGACATTAAAAAATGATCATTTTTCATCCCTACCACCTCATTAATGACAGGCAATGTTCCTTCACTGGTTCTCAACCTTCCTCATGCCGCGACCCTTTAATCCAGTTCCTCATGTTGTGGTGATCCCCAACCATAAAATTATTTTTGTTTCTACTTCATAATTGTAATGTTGCTGCTGTTATGTCTTAGGCGACCCCTGTGAAAGGGTTGTTCGACCCCCAAAGGGGTCGCCACACCCAGGTTGAGAACCGCTGCCTTAAATAAAAGAAATGAGGTCATACTCTGAGAATGTGGACAATTTTAGTCCTCAGGCACAAGAGGACAGTTAAGGATGTCATCTCAAACACACACACAATTGTTTATAGGTACTATACACTCTTAAATATATATTGAATCGTATGTATTGTTCTCTCTTTTTTTTATTCCTCACCCAAGGATATTTTTCTATGTATCTTCAGATAGAGTGGGAGGGAGGGAGAAAAAGAGAGAGAAAGGGAGAAAGAGAGAAACACTGTGCCTCTCGGGACCAGGGCCACAATCCTGCATGCCCTTGACTGGAATCAAACCCGCAACTCATTGTTCTGCAGGCCGACTCTCTAACCACTGAACAAAACCGCCCAGGGCTGTATTGTTCTCTCTTTAAGGACCAATAAGCCCTGGTCAGTTTGGCTCAGCGGTTGGAGCGATGCCCTGCGGGCCAGAGAGTCCTGGGTTTGGTTCCCGCTAGGGGCACGTACCAAGAAACAAAACAAAACATAGTCACAAGGACCTTTCTTTGAGACCAGGTCCTGCTCCTGATTGTGTGTTCCCTACAAAGGTTACTCCTAATTCTGCCTGAGACTCTGTTTACCAGAGTATGAAAGGGGATGATAAACCCTCCTCATACGACGCATTGCGCATTGCGGAATTCTGCACTGGCCTTGCAGGTTGAGCCTGGTGGAGAATCGGAAGGAGTGCGCCCCCTGGCGGTAATATGTATAAAGGGAGGTCTGGTAGACTCCCTTTATCTGGCTAGAACCTTACTTAGCTCATGGAAGTAATCCAGAGCACCTTCCTTACAAGGAATTTGTGGGGCAAAGCATCATTTTTATTTTTTGCATTTTCAAAATCCCTTTTAAGGTCGTTGTGAAAATTGATTAAACAATTAAATCTAGAGGCAGAGAATATTTGGAGCTAATTTACCTGCAGGGGGAAATACAATCACTGTGGAGTATTTTCTAAACCTAGGAGTGATAGTGGTTTTAGTGGACTGATGTCACTTAACACTTGTCAGGGATTACAAGTCTGCTGGTGGGAGCTGTGATGAGTAGGAATTGTGAGAGAGGGGCTGAACCTAGAAACTGGTTCCTCTTAGCCCCCTTCTTGCAGTGTGGGGGTGTTTAGGGGTGTGGCTAAGTAGGAACTCAAAGGCGTCTTTGTTGAGATTGTGCTGTGTTTGGCTGGAGACTCAAAGCAATAAAATGCTTAGAAAAGGAGTCTCTGAATAGACTAACTTTGGAGTGCAGGCCACGGAAGACAGATGGGCTAGGGAGACAGGGTGCTGTGGCCCCAGAGAAACTGGCCTCCAGGGATCAGACGGATGATATAACATGGCAAGCTAATAAGGGATTTAAGCTAAACCCTTGAGCAAATGCATCTAGATTTAAAGGAGATTGGAAAGTCACAATGCTGAAAGAGCTACTAAGCCTTTAAGGTTCGAAGATATAAGGTATATTTTGACATCTGGTTAAAAACTAGTCTTTGAGTAGACCTGGTAGGAAGAGAGAGAGAGAAACATCAACGTGAGAGAGACACATCGAGTGGTTGCCCCCTACACGACCCCAACCGGGGCCTGGGACAAATTGCAACTGAGGTACGTGCCCTTAGCGGGAACTGAACCTGGGACTCTCCTGTCCACGGGCCGACGCTCTAACCGCTGAGCCAAACCGGCCAGGGCGGGACACTGTTATTGTTAAGAAAATACTATAGGAAGCCAAGTGCCAGATAACTCTGTAATACCAGGCCACTGTGAACCAGCCTCATCCTGTGCAGGAAGTCGTGCCTGAAGGTAACAGGCCCAGAGCTGTGGCCCATCGCTTGTAACTGGCTTGGGGCCACCTCTCACAGGGCTCTTAGTTCTTGGCCTTACTGTGTGATCCCCACCTTAGAGGCACACAGAAGGGCTAAAATGATGACTAAGGAAGCACCTGTAAGGCCTGGTTCCAGCCCAGGGGAGGTGATTGGTTATCAAGAGTTTGAGGTTGTGCCCTGGCTGGTGCAGCTCAGTGGTGAGAGCATCAGCCTACTCATCGGAGGGTTCATGGGTTCAATTCCCAGTCAAGGGCATGTACCTGGGTTGCAGGTTTGATCCCTGGCCCCGGGTAGGGCGAGTGCAGAAGGCAACCAATTGATGTGGCTCTCTCACATCAATGTTTCTCTCTCTCTCTCTCTCTCTCTCTCTCTTTCTCTCTTTCGCTCTCTCTCCTCCCTCCCTCCCTTCCACTCTAAAAAAAAAAAAAAAAAAAAATCAGTGGAAAAATATCCTTGGGTGAGGATTAACAACAACCAAAGAGTTTAAGGTTGGAGTTTAGTTCACACTTGATAGGAGCAGCAGCAGAAAGAGCTTTTGTGGTCTTTGGAGTCACACAGCTCTGTGTTGAAATTCTAGCTCTCCCTCTCCAACCTGCAGGGCCTTGGAAGTTTCTTAGCCATTCTCAGCCCCAGTTTTCCCATCTAAAGACCTGAGGCTAAGAGTCTTGACTCTCTCTGTTGGTAGTGCTAAGTAAAGCACAGGGGATCAACGACAGGTGCTTCTCTTCGCTTCCTCCTCCTGTTTTCCCAGCCTCCCTTGCCCATCCCACTCCATCTCCTCCCCAGGATGGCGTACCTTTCAGATTGACATTCATGATGATCTCGCGAGGAATGAGATTGAAGACGTCAATGACAGAGGCGGCGTGGATGACAGCGGAGGTGCCCTGGCAGGCTCTCTTCACGAACTGCTCGTCCAGAATATCCCCCTCCAGCAAGGTCAGCTTGGCCTTGCTCTGGAGCTCTGTGTGAACACCATCAGGTCACTGGCGGGCTTTCTGGACCTGGGTTTCCTGCTAAAGGTGGCCTTTCACCCAGGTCTTCAAGGGCAGGCAGACTGGGGGTGGGTGGGAGGGAGGCACATTCCATGGCAGGACAGGTGAGCAATCACAGACATCAGAATGTGTGGTGTTTATTGGAAATAGCAAACCTGTTTTCACCCATCTCATTCCAAAAAGGAGCTTGAGCAGTGGCAAGGCAGGTGTGCCTGGGACACTAAATCTTTTTTTTATATTTAATTTTTTTGTTAACCCTCACCTGAGGTGATTTTTCCATTTGTTTTTAGAGAGGGGAAGGGAGAGAAAGAAATGCGAGAAAGACACATTGACTGATTGTCTCCTGCACAACCCCGACCAGTGTGGAGGGTTGAACCTGCAACCCCTGCCCTTGATCGGGAATCGAACCCATGACCCTTGGGTGAGCGGGCTGACGCTCTAACTGCTGAGCCAAACCGGCCAGGGCCCATCGCTACATTGTTAAAGGGACTTGTGGGAAGTTCATAAGATTCATGCAGCAGAGTAGGGTGATGGCGAGAGTGGCTATAGGAGGACAGAATACGGATTCAGTTCTGCAGGGATGAGGAATCTCGTGTGGACTTGGAATGAGTGGAGAGCGGGCCGGGTTGGGCCGTGGGAGCCCGCCCTGGCCGCAGAGGGTCGGCGGGGGCAGTAGGAGCGAGCAAAGCGCTGGAGAGATCCAGCCGAGTCCTGCACCGCGGTTCGGCCGGGAGCCCGAACCCGCGTCCCAGCAGCTGCATGCGGCAGAGAAGGAAGAGCGAGGTCCGGCTTTCAGACCCACGAGGAAGATCCAAAGTCTCGGGCGACCAGGAGGATAGTGGGACCACTGACAGGGAATTTAGGGTGCGCCCAAGCTCGGATTCGATGTCATCGAGGCAGATGTCCGAGCTGAAACGGAGTCAGCCTCGCAGCCATCAGGCGGAGGGCAGCAGGGACCTTCGGGTCCTCGACTCCTCCGAGTCCACGGAGTGAACGACGCCGCCTGCAGTTCTGACAAACACCCTACCCTCATTCCGTCCCTCCTATTCGCACTCAGCTGTCACCGTTTTCTCACGTGCTCTGCAGGCACACCGGTGGTGCCGGCTCAGCCTCCCCTGCCTCTAGCCCTGCCCACCGGCCCGTGCCACCCGGTGCAGGACTGGCACATTTCGGGGGCACAGTGAGAAGTCTCGGAACTAAAATTGGCAATGGAGGCCAGAAAGAGAAATTCAGAGGGGAAATTCAGGGCTGGAGAATGTCCTTCCTAGGTTACGCTGGGAACAATCATCGGCTCTCCTGAAGTGCCTGGCAAGTCGACTCTGCCCCCAAGAAGACCCAGGGTGGGAGGAAGGCGGGAGAGAAGCTCTAGAAGTCAGCCTGAGAGTTCAGTTTTCTCTGCATATGTCCCCACCTCTGCTCTCTGCTCTCCCTTCCTCTCCCTCTCCTAGTGCTGCCTTCAACCCACTGGATCAAGGACAAATAGGTCCGGGTGGGAGGGGAGAAATCCAAAGCCCAGAGAGGTAAGAAGTCCCACCTACCCCCTAGCCTGCAGGGATAAGGAGCAACCAGCAGAGGGCGCTGTGGCAACTGCGTTGGTGGAGCGGTGGCCCATGGACTCTGGGAGACTGAACGTGCAGCTAGTTCTGTGGTGTGAGTGGGTGGGAGGGAGGGAGGGAGGGAGGGAGGCCCGGAACAAAGCTTCTAGGCAAACTAGTGTTCGGAGCACAGTCGCTGAGGCCAGACCGCCTGGTTCAAGTCTAGCTTTGCCATTTTCCAGCTGTGGGACCCTGAACAGTTAATGAACCCCTGCTAGGCTCTGAATGTCTGTGTCCCCCAAATCCCTGTGTAGAAACCCTAACGCCCAACCTGATGGTGTTAGGAGATGGGGTCTTCGGGAGGTGGCTAGGTCCTAAGGGAGGAACCCTCATGAATAGGATTCGTGGTTTTATAACCCCTCCCCTTCCAGCATGTGAGGACACAGTAAAGAAGGCACCAGCACCTGAAGGGGGGCTCTCACCAGAACCCCACGCTGGCACCCTCAACTCAGGCCTCCAACCTCCAGGGCCACCGGAAGTAAATTCTGGTGTTTCCCAGCCCCCAGCCTGTGGTGGTCTGTTACAGCAGCCTGAAGCCACTCGGCCTCTCTGTGCCTGTCTGTCCTCATCTTTTACAAAAGGAGGGTGCTATCATCCATCCCATAGGGCTGAGAGGAGCAAATGAGTTCACGCGTGCCAAATACTTAGCACAGTGCCTGGCCCTGATAGGACGACTTCTTCAAAGGGGCCCCGGCCCATCCACACCACCCGACATGACACTACTTGACAGTCACATTGGGGAACTATTTTTTTAGGTGGAACAAGGCCCTTTTGGGAATCAGCTGTCAGCTTGCAAATATTGCTGAGCTGCAAGGATCACAAACACTTACTGTTGATTATTTGTGAATTGGAGACACTGCTGAAGCAGAAGGTGGAGGAAGCAGGACGTTGGGAGAGGTCAGAGGAGAGGACAGAGCCCAGTGCTGGGTGCAGTCCCGAGAGCAGGTGGGGGCCTCGTGTGGGGAGGCAGTGTTTCCTGGGTAGCATGTAAACACCCAGTCTGCAGGAGCTGGGGAGGGGGACAGGGAACTGGTTTGGGGGCACTTACTTTGCCAAGAGTCACCCTAGAGTCACATGATCAGGGCCCTGTAATAAGGCCCTAGTCTGAGCTCTGGTGCTCATTAACCAGGGGGCCTCCAGCAACACTTTATCCTTGTGCACCTGATTTCTTCATTGTCCAAATGGAGTGACCCCCTCCTTTCCTACTCTCCTCACGGGGTTATTTGTAGGCTAGGGAGTGAGACAGGTTGAGACATGCACACTGCATCCAGCTTCTGCCTTTGCACCAGGAGTAACAATCTGGGCAAAAAGCAGTGAGCTGCTGCTGTGAAGCCTGCAGCCACTGCCCTTGTGTCGACGAGGAACAGAGATAAACGGTAACGAAAGACGCAGGGAGTCCACAGGGTGTGTCCTCACTCACGCCACCTTGCACTGTGTCCCGGCTCCCCCGCTGTGCCGGGCACGCTCTCTGCTCCCACCCCTTTCTCATTGTCCTTCCGGCTCACATTCTCTCTCTCCTCTCTCTCTATGTCTCTCTGTTTTGGCCACACACACACACACACACACACACACGCACACACTCAGCTTTACCTTCACTTCCATTTATTTCACCTTCACTGGAGGTGTTAAGTGAAGCCACAAAATGACCAGGACCATCAAGATGGGCAGGAACCCCAGTGGGGTCTCCAGGTCAGTGGTGCTTGCCTGCCCTTTATTGAGGTTGCATACTAACTGCCAAGTCAAAAATCTCGGAGCATTGAAGAGTTGTTAAAAAGGGAGAGAACCAACATGTGATTCTGTCCCTGAGAACAGGGCTCAGAGGCAGGAGCGGCTGGGCCACAGCCACCTCTCTAGCTCTGGCCAGGGCCAGAGTTCAGTCTCCTGACACCCAGCCCAGTCTCTTCAACACCACCACCTTCGATCTTTTTTCCGTTGACTTTGGACAGGGGATTAGCCTTGGTTGGCTCTCATGCTCCTTGATTTGCTACACGAGAACCCCTTTCCCACCCCTGCATAGGGTTTAGGATGGAGCCACACACCCATGACTCGAGTTCACTTACTAGAAAATTCCTCCCGCAGTTCAGGTCTGAAGACTTTGTCCAGCGCCCGGATCTCCTGCAGCTCTCTCTCCTCCACCAACAGGCGGACAATCCTCTGCCCCAGAAAGCCTCCTGCGCCGGTCACAAGGCAGCTCCACCCAGCCATGGCCACACCTGGGAACCAAGAAGCACTCTCCAGAAACCAGAACGCGCGGGGCGCAGGTTGGAGGAGAGGGCCACCCTGAACAGGACCCCAAGTGGAGGCCAAATGGTTACAGGCTCACTCGAATCCATTCTGTTCCCTGAACTCCATGTTTGCAAAAATCTCCCATACTCACCCCTCTTCTCGCCCAGGAGCGACTTTAAAAAAGCTCTAGCTTGCCCTGACCCACTCGGCTCAGTGCTTAGAGCGATGGCTGTGGGCTTAAAGGTCTCGAGTTTGACTCTGGTCAAGGGAATGTACGTGGGTTGCAGGTTCATCCCCGGCCCCAGCCGGGTCATGCGGGAGGTAACCAATCGATGTGTTTCTCATGCAGGAGGCAACCAATAGATGTCTGACATCGATGTTTCTCCCCCCCCTTCCCCCACCCTCCCTTCCACAAAAAGCAATGGAAAAAATATCCTTGGGTGAGGATTAACAACAACAAAGTTCTGACCTGTTCAGCTGCTAAAAGCCAGATGGAAGAGCCTGGGTTCTGGTGTCCTTCCCGCCCAAGGTCAGGACTGCAGCTAGAAGCTGTGCCCTTTGGCTCAGCCTCCTTATCTGGGACTCGACTATGTATTCACTGCTCAGTCCTGTCCCGGGATCCCTCCTCCCACAGAGTGGGGGAAGTCAGCTTCTATCTCTTTCCCTCCAAAGCCCAGAAAGAGAAGCCTGGCTTCAAGGTCACACCTGATAAAGATCCTTTGTTCCACCCACAGCAGGACACCCAGCAGCTGTTTGGGGTCCACAATCTGTGCATTTAAACTAGACTAAGAGAGGTCTCCCAACCCAATGGAAATTTTTGCCGTGTGAAGTAAACACACCTGGGGAGGGGCAGGGGCCGCTTTAGCCCGCTGCCTCCTCCCTCAGAGTGTGGTTTGAAATGTTGCCGTCTTGCAAAGTTGAGAAGTTTGCGATGGTGGCAGCTCCAGTCGTTGTGTTCTCCAGGAGGTGACTTTGTTTCCCATCCAATATATCCAGACATCAACTCTGCTTCCCTCCCGGAGAGCCCTGGGGGCAGCTGTCTGCGATAAACACCCACTTCCATGGCCTGTCTCAGGAGATGAGGGGTCTAGTTGTGGGTCACAGGGGCACTTTAATTACAGATGTTTTTACTCCCCTCACACTCTGGTTGCAGATCCACTCAGCAGTTCTGGAACTGGAGATGCAGGGGATGCTTCTGAAGCCTGGAGGTGCTCAGACCATCGCCCCAGGCTCTCCAGGGCACTGTCTTTCCTTCACCCGAAAACCAGATGTCATTTACGTGCATTAACAGGTCCAGATGTTAGTTCATTGCACCTGGACAGTCATGCACACCCATGTAACCACCACGCAGAACGAGGTAGAGAATATCTCCGTCACCTTAGAAGGTTCTTTCCTGTCCCTCTCCAGTCACATCCCTCTCCCCGCTGCTGCCCCAGATGCAACTGGGTTCTGATTTTTAGTCCCCTAATTTTTAATTCCAAAGTCATTTTGTGGCTCTGGGTTCTATATTTAAATACAGCATCCATCTGAAATTAGGTTTTGTGCGTGAAGTACAGAAAATTTGCTGTCGTATTTATTTCTCTACAGTCTGTTCATTTTCTATTCCAACAGTTAATTTTAATTATTTGCTTCTTTTTGCTTCCTTTGGGCTCAATTTACGCTTTATTTTTTAGGGTTCTTGTGGTTAAACTTTCGATAATGAATTTAATCCCTTCCCTCTTTTTCGACTGTCAGCATTAAAGCTATAAACCTCTCTCTAAGCACTGTGTGAGCTGCATCCAACACTTTTGATGCATTGGATTTTTGGCATCATTCAGGTAAAAATATTTTCTAATTTTCCTGTGATTTCCTCTTTAACACGAACTATTCAGAAGTGTGTTGTTTAATTTTTTTTTTTTTTTAATCCTCACCCGAGGACATTTTTCCATTTTTTGTTCAGATAGAGTGGGAGGGAAAGAGAGGGAGAGAGAGATACATCGATGTGAAAGGGACACATCCACAGGCTGCCACCCACACGACCTCAACCAGGGCTGGGGACAAACTGCAACCGAGGTACGTGCCCTTAGCAGGAACCGAACCCGGGTCTCTCCGGACCGCAGGCCGACGCTCTAACCGCTGAGCCAAACTAGCCAGGGCTGTTGTTTAATTTTTTAAATTGGAGCTGTTTCTAGATATCTTGTGATTGATTTCTAATGTAATACTCCTGTGGTCGGAATGAATACTCTGTGTGATTTTGATTCTTAGATATTCAAGGATTGTTTGGCGGTCCAGCACATGGTCTATCTTGATGAACATGCCACATGTACTTGGAGAGAATGTTTTCTTCCGTTGTCGAGAGCAGTGCTCTGTAGAGACTATCTGACACCCTCCCCTCCCCTCCCTGTACTCTGGACATTCTCTTCTTCCAGCGTGGGACCCAGCTCTCACTGTCTCAAACACACTTGCTTAGGAAACGTTGGCTGTAGTCACTGAATGTACCAGCTTTTCTTTCTTTTTTTTTTTTTTATCCTCACCCGAGGACATTTTTCCATTTTTTTGTACAGATAGAGTGGGAGAGAGAGAGAGGAAGAGAGAGATAGAGAAACATCGACGTGAAAGGGACACATCGAGTGGCTGCCACCTGCACAACCAACCAGGGCCGGGGACTAACTGCAACCGAGGTACGCGCCCTTAGCGGGAACCGAACCCGGGTCTCTCTGGACCGCAGGCCGATGCTCTAACCGCTGAGCCAAACCGGCCAGGGCTGTACTAGCTTTTCTCTGAAGCAGTCGTCACTTGCCAAAGGCGCTTGGTCTGGTTGAGACACATGGAGGATCTGAGGCCACCAAGGAGCATCGCATACCTCTGTCCCGCTGGAGGCAACCAGATGTCAGCTAGACCAGATGTCTCTAGGCATTATCTGCAGCCAAAGAGTCAACAGAACAGGAGTTCAGGGTCTCTGAGTGGAACCAATAAATATAAACTCTAAGGCAAGATGAATGCACAAACAAAATTGAAACACTCGTAGATACAGAGAACAGCCTAATGGTTGCCAGAGGGGGAGGGGAGCTGGGTGGAAAGGTGAAGGGATTGAGAAGTAGAATTGGAAGTTACTAAACAGTTGTGGGAATGTGAAGTACAGCACAGGGAACATAGTCGATAGTATTATAATAACTGTGTACAGTTCCAGGTGGGTACTGGAAATCAGGGGCACACCTTGTAAAGTATATGACTGTTTAACCACTGTATGCTATACACCTGAAACTAATACAAAATAATATCGAATGTAAACTGTAATTGAAAAGTAAAATTTAAAAATAAACGCTGTAGAAAGTGAGAAATAAAATAAAGGGCATGGCAAATGGGGGCTACAATATCACCTTAAAATTTTTATTCAAATAGCTTTACTGAGACATAATTTACATGCCCATTTTTCAAATCGGGTGATTTATCATTTTACCGTTAAATTGCAGGAGTACTTTATATTCTCAACACAAGTTATTTAAAAAATATATAATTAGAAACTATTTTCCCCAATCTGTGGTTTATGTTTTTATTTCCTTTTAAAAATATATATATTTATTTATTTATTAGAGACAGAGGAAGGGAGAAGGAGATAGAGACAGAAACATCAATGAGAGAACATGGATTAGCGGCCTCCTGCAAGCCTCCTACTGGGGGTCGAAACTTGAGCATGTGCCCCGACTGGGAATCGAACCAGTGACCTCTTGGTGCATGGGACAATGCTCAGTTCACCGAACCACATTGGCCAGGCTCTTTTTATTTTCTTTATAATGTCTTTAGAAGCACAAATATTTTTCCTGCTGATGAAGTCCCATTAAAATTTTTTTTTTCTTTAACCACTCATGTTCTTGTCTAACCCAAGGTCATAAAATTTTTCACCTATATTCTATAATCCATTTTGAGGGAAATTTTGCATGTGGTGTGAGTTATTGGTGTAAATTCATATGGTCAATTGCTTTTGACAAAGGTGCCAAGTAAATCCAATGGGAACAAAGGACTGTCCTTTAAACCAATGGTGCTGGACATCTGGATTGTCCGTGTGCTCAGTCAGGGTAGGTCAGGCCATGTTATGTAGGGTGGGGCCCGTCTGAGTAACCACCAGTTAGCGTCAGCATTTGGGAAGAATTCCTCAGTATGACTCAGCCTGGATGAAACGATATGCGGTACTAGGAAAACGCGAAAGGCGTGGAGAAAAGGCATGATTCCCCTCCTCCTGTCCTTCACTGAAGCTAGGTAGGCAGGACTTCGCTGGGCCCAGCGCGGAGGTGTGCATTCCAGTGTGGGGACACTCGCCTCTACTTTTGCATCATGTAAGCACAAGGAAGCAGCTTTATCAACAGAGGAACACACACGCTGTCAGTGCCAGGCAGTCGGCTTTGGGAGGCCAGCTGTTTCTAAGAGTTGCATGGGAAAGTCGGTGCCCAGCACCTGGAGTCCATGGGCGCAGGGGAAGTGTTTCCCTCTCCTGCGGGGAGAAAGCCACGGTTCCACAGGGAACTATTCACGGCACAGTCCCTCATGCTGGGAACAGGGGAGCCCTCTCCTTGGCTCCCTTGTTCAACTCCTGAGTCATGTTAGGACCATTATGATCCTGTGCCACAGTCCTAGAGAGACACATTTGGGAAATGGAAGTGTATGAGAATTTTAGACAAAATAACTCCAGGGGGAAAGTATTCACGGATAAAGGGAAACATCTGAGGACTAAATTCAGGGACAAACACAACGTTTAGAGGTTGAACAGGGGCAGGGGTGAGGCGGGAGGAAAAGCAGGAGAGTTGAGTGAAAAAGTCTTCCAAGGAGGAGAGTGTGTCAGCTGGGCTGGATGTTGCTGAGGCACCAGCTGCAGCGCAGAAAGGAGGTGAGCGTTGGTTTGGGCAACATCGAATTCGTGAAGAGCTTGGCAAGAGCCATTTCCGTGCGGAGCCGGGTTAGCGGTCCAGCTGCAGTGCACTGGGGACTGATGAGAAGTAAAGAGACTG